ATCGGCATACCACACAGCGATTGCTTACCACTTACCCACCCACGCGAACACCATCATAATCATTATCCTCACGACAGGCCCCGAGAGACTCCAACGAGACTACGCAACATAAGCATAAATTGTAAAACTTGGAGGGGATATTCCCCCCAGCGTCGCACTCCATCTACCAAGCGACTGATTCCACGAGCGCGACCTGCACACGACAACTAATCAGGGAAATTACCACAACGCAACGTTTTGATCCCCGCTATCACACGGGCAAGTCACAACGAGGATGCGATGTGGGCTGGCGGCATGAGCGAAGCGCTTGAACAAACCGTTCCGCCATCGTGGACGCCTGTCCCAGGGCCGCTCGAAAGCCGAGAATCACCCGACGTGCCACGGCAGGGGTACAGACTTCGCGGCCGCCTCGGGACAGGCGCCCCCGAAGAGCGGACAAGCCCACCTCGTACCCTCCTTCGCCCGCTGCGAGGAGGGCCCCCCGGCCGCTCAGCCGACGCCGGGGTGGACCCCAGGCCGCCAGGCGCCACCGCGCGCCCCGCTGACGCCGCCGCCAGCGCCGTGCCTGGCGCCTGAGACAGATCCGTTCGTCGCGGCAGCGGCGGCGACCCCTGGGGCAGCAGCGCCGCGGGCCGCCGCGGCGGCGCCGGCCGCGCCGCCGGGCGCGTCGAAGGCACCGCCCGCGTTCCAGCACGACCAGGAGCCGTCGTGAGATAGCCGCTGATCATCAGAACGCGTCTGAGCGCCAGCGTGCGCTTGTCCTCCGAAGCCCTTCGATGGCGACGCAGGCGGTGTAACGACAGCCAGCACGGGCTGGGTGCTATCGGCGGGGCGGACCGGGGCAAACACACATTGGGCTACAGCGAATGCGTATGATAAGGATGCGCGGTAAAGGTTGAAGCCCCTTGGACGCCCAGGTTGAAGCTGTTTGAGCTAAGGATTGGCTAATGATGGGCCGAAAAGGGGTGGATGCAGAAAGGGGAACGTTAGGAGAGACTGGCTCAGGGTGAGAAACATCGACCTAGAATCGACCATACGTCGCCAATAGATCGGCGAGAGGTTCCTGATGGGGACACCGCACGTTCCTCGGCGGGGTGGACTATTAGGCCGCTATCGGCAACGAATATGCGATTGGGTGTCAATGCATCCCCCTGAGCCTATCCCTCCCAAACGTTGCCCCTTGGTGTTGGGGCCTCTCCAGCGGTCGCTCGGCACGATCCAAGCATCCCCGGAACGCCCCCGACGAGGCGCACCTGATGGGAACCACCCCCGGGCTTCGGAAACCTCGAAAACCATCGAAGAAAAACCTCCGGAAACTCACGATAGCGTTCGAAAACTCGGGCGCGCTGGCTGCAGCACACGTCCCGAGGACCACCGGGATGCGCAGAGGAGGTAGGGCACGTCGGCGTTCTGGCCACTGGGCCGCGGCCAGCGCGCGCCCCAGGCCAGCCCGTGCACTGCGCTGTCGTGCTGGCACACCAGCTGCCGCATGCCCCTCTCCAGGTCCACAACCAGCACGGCGCCCGTCAGCGAGCCCAGCGCGAGCACGGTACGAGGAAGGAAAAAATGGCATAAGCACAAACGGTCGGAGGTCCGCGCGGGCTTCTCGTATCGGCGCTGGGCCCCCCGGGCGGCGCCTCCGGCGCCGCTCCTGGCGCGCGGAGCGCGCCAGGGAGGGGGCCCATCACCGATGCAACAAGTCCGCGTGGAGCTCCGAAAGTTTGTGCTAATGCTTTTCTTCCGTCTCCGAATGGTACCGCACGGCGAGAACGCCATCGACGTCACCTCCCCATCGAAGGCGGCGCAGCCGGCGAGCTGGGCGTGCTGTAGCCTCCGCAGCGTTCTCAGGTCCCAAGCCGCAAGGGTGCAGCGGTCCGTCCCTGCCGCCAGCAGGTGCTGCGCGGACGCGGCGGCCACGACCAAGTGCTGGTCGGTGGGGGCCGGCAGCGCACAGCACATGATCTGAGCGCGCAGGTCCCACAGTCTCACGTGACCGTCTGCCGAGGCGGTGGCCAGGCACTTGTCGTACGCCACGGTGCTGAGGAAGCGAGCGCGCCAGACCTCCCCAGCGTGCTGCTCTAGCGTCCGAATCGCGCTGCACACCTCAAGGTCCCAGACCATGGCCTTCCTGTCCGCAGAGGCGGTGCAGGCGACCGTCTTCTCCGTGCGGTGGAAGTCAATGTCGTTCACGGCCCCGCCGTGCCCCCGCAGGTCTTGGCAGCTCCCGTCCGGGCCCCAGAGCCAGGCCCGCGCGTCCAGTGCGCCTGCACCCACCAGGCCGCCCCGGCAGCACGGCGAGGCCGCCACGGCGAGCAGCGGGGAGCCCGGCCGCTGGCGCCTCACGGCCTCTGCGTCTGGGCAGGCGCTGGGACCCTCGCACCAGTCCAGCAGGTCGAAGGTCCGCACCCACGAGTCCCACGAGCAGGTGACCACCATGTCGGCGGGCGTCAGACACACGCCGGACACCGCGTCCTGGTGCGTGCGGACGCGGCCCATCAGCGCGAAGGAGGAGCTGCCCCTGGCGCTGCCCGCCTGCGCCTGCAGGGGCGGGGAAGGGAAGATGCTGGAGCCCCCCTCCTTTCCTCCTCCTCCTCCTCCTCCTCCTCCTCCTCCCCCTCCTCCTCCCCCTCCTCCTCCTCCTCCTCCTCCTCCTCCTCCGCATCCTCCTCCTCACCCATAGTGCCGGCCCTTCCTCCTTTTTCTCCCATTTCCGTTCCCTCCATTCCCTCTCGTATGATCCCTTACCCCTCTGTTCCCCCCGACGCACTTCGCCAACGCGGTGAGGTCGACCACCATCCAACAGGGGGGTAATATGAAATTCCGAGCATCATCGAACTCTACGTACTCTTGTTAACACGCATGTGTTGAAGAAGGGAGAAAAGGAACGCTGGGGGAATATTGCGAACACTCCGACGATCACACTCCGTGGAAGAAGAAGCGGTCAGCTCTGGCTCGAAGGTGGCGGCCTCAAGCGCAAACCAATAGAATTTAAGCGTCGCACTGCTGGCGTGCGTAGAGCCGTTCGGAGTTTGTCAAGGCTGCCATCACAGAACCATCCAGCGCGACGCGAACATACTGGCAGCACAGTGCAGCCAATCGCACTCGCAAGCGACAATGTCGGCATACATCACCCAATGGCCGTTGAACTCGAACGCACCCGACAGCGGCGCAATCCGCCTTCTCGAACTGCGCCTCGGGATGTGCGGCCGCTCTCCCGCGCGGCCGCGCAGCAGCTCCCTGCACGAACGCCGCCTGCCGATCCGTCCACGCGGACGGCGAATTCGTGTCGTGATGCCGTCGGCGCCGGTTTCTTGTCAAGGGGCCCCAGGACACACAAATAAATACACACAAATAAAAATATGCCCCATATTTTCCCATATTTTCTGGGTTGTTGTCTTCCCGCCCACTTCCCATATTTTCGCATATTTTCTGGGAATCGACGAATACTTGTGTCTGTGTGTTTTCTCCCCTCCTGATTGATGCCGCGTGGGTCGTCCCACCTCGAACCATCGCGGCTTCCCGATCGTGCAAATCTTCCAGTGCCGGCCGGATCCGGGCCACCAGCGGCGTGTTCCACCCTGGGCGCCAACTGGATGTCATGGGCCGCCGTGCGTGCAGACGGCTGCCTCCATCCGTCCCTCCGGCCCCCAATAGTGATCCGCAGAAACGAAGGAGGAGAAAGAGAATGTCGACAAGTAACGCGCGCACGCATCCCACCCCCCCAACTGGATTGTTGGGGGTGGGATGCGTCCATGCACGCTCGCGATGTTCGTGTCCCACCCCCCCCCCCCACCTTGCCTCGGCTGCGCCCGAGTGTGATATCCCTCCTCGTCTCCAAACCAACGCCGCCCCCCTTTAAAAGGACTATGGCATGCGTCGCACTTCCCCGCGGATGCATCACTGCGCGACTATACGCGAGCGACGAAAGCGGCGAACGACCAACCACAAACGACTACAAACGGGCGACGACAGACGAACGACGACCGACGACCGGCGACGACGACGACGACGACGACGACGACGACGACGACGACGACGAGACGACGACGAGCGACGACCGACGAACGACGAACAATCAATGATGGTCAGGACGACGACTGCCGACGAACGGCCAACGACGACGAAGTACGGGCGACAAGCAGCGAACGTCGAACAACGCCGCACATGCGGGCGCATCGCAACGAGACAACCGCGCGGGGGGTCGGTGGGGTCCGCGCGAGGATTTTTCGGGCGAGGACTCGCGCGTCGCCGTGGGGGCGGCCTCGGCGAGCGACGTTCGCGCGACAGTCGGAGCGCGGCACCAAACGGCGCCCTCGCGCGACTGTGTAGCGCCGGGAGGGACTCGCGCAGGGAAGGCCTCGCGCCCGCCGGGAAGGACTCGAATCGCGCTGGGGTCGGCGCGCATCGCCAGGCGGACTCCCCGCGCGACTGAGCAGCGCTCGAGCGCGCGGGCGGGGACTCGCGCGTCGCGTCGCCAGCGGTCTCCGCACGTGATCTTCGCGCGGAGTGTGGCGCGCGGCGCCGAGCAGCCTCCTCGCGCGACTGGGCAGCGCTCGCGCGCGCAGGAGGACTCGCGCGCCGCGTCGGCGATGGCCTCGGCACGCAGGCTCACGCGCGGGGGCCGGCGCGCGGCGCCGCGCTGCTTCCTCGCGCGAGCTGGCAGCGCTCGAGGGCGCAGGGGGAGGCTCGCGCGACGCACCGGCGGAATGGCATTCCGGCGCCGCGGTCTCGATCCGCGAGAGCGATGGCGCTCCGCTGCCCGGCTGGGCGCGCGCGCGCGGATGTCCCCGCGGATGCGCCGCACACGCGTCGCAGACGCGGGCGCATCGACGCGCGACCACCGCGCGGGGGGGGGAGGGGGGGAAGTCAGCAGGGAGGGAATCAAACTCTGTTCCTGGGGTCCGTCGGGCCGCGTCGGCTGGGGCTTCCTGGGAGGCCCCCCCAAAGCTGCGCGGAGCCCCCTCTGGAGCCTGAGCCTTCCTGGCGCCTCCAGGGCCTTCCTACGCTTCCTGGGGCCCACGCGAGCTCCCCGGCGCGTCTGGGAGTGCCTGGGGGCGCGTGGGAGCGCGGGGGGCGGCTGAGAGCGCCCAGGAGCGCCTGGGCGCTCCTGGAGCGTCTGCGAGCGCGCGGGAGCGCCTGGGAGCGTCTGGGAGGGAGATCGGAAGAAAGAGCACCCACAGAAAGGTGAAGATCCCCAACACCACGAAGATCACCACCTCCAGAATGACGACTAACGGGAAGAACGGCACCACCGCATGCAGGACGAAGATCCCCAGCAAGAGGATCGGCACAACGAAGATCGGCAGGATGATCGGCAAGAAGACCAGAACCGCACAGATCAGCAAGACGACCGTCACCACCCGGTCCACAAACGTCCCCAGCAAGATGCACAGCATGAAAACCAGCGCCACGACGACCCCCAGCAGGGAGATCTGCAGGGAAAACGGCATCACCGCTAGCACGATGAAACTCCCCAACAAAAAGATCGGCAGGAAAATCCGCAACACCGCCGGCAGGAGAACGGCACCACGAAGGCCACTTTATGCAGGAATCAGATCCTCAGCGACAGAAATATTCACCCTCCCCCCATAAGAAGATCGAAAGCACCACGAAGAACACCACCTCCATCATGAAAGACAGGATGAAGATCGGCAGGAAGATCAGCATCACGAAGACCACCTCCGGCAGGAAGCAAAATCCCCGGCATCCCAAGGACATGCAAGGACCACCCCCGTCCAAAGGAAGATCGGCAGCGCCACGAAGAAGCCCCCCTCCATCATGATCAGGAGGCGCTCGAGCGGCACCCGCTGGTGGGCGACGACAGCAGCAAGAACCCGATCAGCCCCCATTGACTCCCACGGGCAGTGGCTTCTCCGCGAAGGGCACCTGGATGAAGAACTTCGGGAGGATCTCCAGGATTGCCCAGCCCAGGCATCGGCGGACTTTTCATGCTGAACGAAAAATGCGAAGAACCCTGCGATGGCCGATGACCACGATCAACGACGCACGACAAACGCATCATCAAGAGACTGCTGCGTCGATCGCGCCACATGTCGGCAATAGTGAGAGCGCCCACGCAATCACCGATATAACGAAACATAGAATGAACCCGCACTCAATCTCAATGCGCATTGATCCGCACCTGGCAGCGTCGACAGCGAATGAGCTGTTCAATAGTCCAGGTCAGGCGAGCTGCGCTGACCATCGCAGGCAGGGAACCAAAATGGCGAGGAAACCGAAGTGGCAGTGCAAAACAGCGGGGAGGCGCACTCGCCCCGAGATGGCCTCTGACGACTCAGCAAACGCTTGAGCCAAAATGGTCGTGGTGATGGTCATGGTGGTGATGGCGAGGATCATTATAACGATGACGATGATGGCGATAGTCGAGCAATCCGAGAAATCCGCGCGGACCTCCGAGTTTTTATGCTTATGTCACTTTTTGTTCTCAATCTCCTGGAAGCGGCAAGTCGACAAGGAGAGCACGGCGGTGGAGTGGATAGCCACTTCGGTTAGCCCGCGCGCGCCCAAACCGCGGGGCCCGCCACGTCGCCCTGCACCGGCTGCGTCGCGCCATTCGCCCGCGCGGTGGCAGCCCTGCGCCGGCGCCGCGGTCTGTGAAGAGGCCCCAGGACACACAAATAAATAGACACAAATATAAATAGTCCCCATATTTCCCCATATTTTAGTGGGGTTTTGTCTTCCCCCCACTTCCCATATTCTTCCATATTTTCTTGAGAATCGACGATTACTTGTGTCTGTGTGTGTTTTTTTCCCCCTGAATCTGGGCCACCTTGTTCGGGGCCCGAAGGTTCGGCGGGCAGCTGCGGTGGGCCCAGGACTTGGCCGCGCAACCAGACAAACCAGCGGCCAAATTTCGGCGGGAGCTTCTGCGGAGGAACGGCGGCCGGCCAGGTCGGCCAGGGCATCGACGACGAGGCTGCGGGGGGCGGGGTCGAACAGCTCAACTGGGAGGAGGCAAGGTAAAGGTAATGGTAATGGTAATGGTAATGGTAATGGTAATGGTAATGGTAATGGTAATGGTAATGGTAATGGTAATGGTAATGGTAATGGTAATGGTAATGGTAATGGTAATGGTAATGGTAATGGTAATGGTAATGGTAATGGTAATGGTAATGGTAATGGTATGGTATGGTATGGTAATGGTAATGGTAATGGTAATGGTAATGGTGGTAATGGTAATGGTAATGGTAATGGTAATGGTAATGGTAATGGTAATGGTAATGGTAATGGTAATGGTAATGGTAATGGTAATGGTAATGGTAATGGTAATGGTAATGGTAATGGTAATGGTAATGGTAATGGTAATGGTAATGGTAATGGTAATGGTAATGGTAATGGTAATGGTAATGGTAATGGTAATGGTAATGGTAATGGTAATGGTAATGGTAATGGTAATGGTAATGGGTAATGGTAATGGTAATGGTAATGGTAATGGTAATGGTAATGGTAATGGTAATGGTAATGGTAATGGTAATGGTAATGGTAATGGTAATGGTAATGGTAATGGTAATGGTAATGGTAATGGTAATGGTAATGGTAATGGTAATGGTAATGGTAATGGTAATGGTAATGGTAATGGTAATGGTAATGGTAATGGTAATGGTAATGGTAATGGTAATGGTAATGGTAATGGTAATGGTAATGGTAATGGTAATGGTAATGGTAATGGTAATGGTAATGGTAATGGTAAATGGTAATGGTAATGGTAATGGTAATGGTAATGGTAATGGTAATGGTAATGGTAATGGTAATGGTAATGGAATGGTACTGGTAACGGTAATGGTAATGGTGCTGATGTTGGTAATGGTAATGGTAATGGTAATGGTAATGGTAATGGTAATGGTAATGGTAATGGTAATGGTAATGGTAATGGTAATGGTAATGGTAATGGTAATGGTAATGGTAATGGTAATGGTCATGGTAATGGTAATGGTAATGGTAATGGTAATGGTAATGGTAATGGTAATGGTAATGGTAATGGTAATGGCAATGGCAATGGCAATGGCAATGGCAATGGCAATGGCAATGGCAATGGTAATGGTAATGGTAATGGTAATGGTAATGGTAATGGTAATGGTAATGGTAATGGTAATGGTAATGGTAATGTAATGGTAATGGTAATGGTAATGGTAATGGTAATGGTAATGGTAATGGTAATGGTAATGGTAATGGTAATGGTAATGGTAATGGTAATGGTAATGGTAATGGTAATGGTAATGGTAATGGTAATGGTAATGGGTATGGGTAATGGTATGGGTAAGTAATGGTAATGGTATGGTATGTAAATGGTAATTGAATGGTAATGGGTAATGTCATGGTCATGTCATGGTCATGGTCCATGTCATGGTCATGGTCATGGTATGGTAATGGTAATGGTAATGGTAATGGTAATGGTAATGGTAATGGTAATGGTAATGGTACGGTAATGGTAATGGTAATGGTAAGGGTAATGGTAATGGTAATGGTAATGGTAATGGTAATGGTAATGGTAATGGTAATGGTAATGGTAATGGTAATGGTAATGGTAATGGTAATGGTAATGGTAATGGTAATGGTAATGGTAATGGTAATGGGGCAATGGTAATGGTAATGGGGGAATGGGAATGAATGGGAATGGGAATGGGAATGGTAATGGGAATGGTAATGGGAATGGTAATGGTAATGGTAATGGTAATGGTAATGGTAATGGTAATGGTAATGGTAATGGTAATGGTAATGGTAATGGTAATGGTAATGGTAATGGTAATGGTAATGGTAATGGTAATGGTAAGGGTAAGGGTAATGGTAGTGGTAGTGGTAATGGTAATGGTAATGGTAATGGTAATGGTAATGGTAATGGTAATGGTAATGGTAATGGTAATGGGAATGGGAATGGGAATGGGAATGGGAATGGGAATGGGAATGGTAATGGTAATGGTAATGGTAATGGTAATGGTAATGGTCATGGTAATGGTAATGGTAATGGCAATGGTAATGGTAAGTGTACTGGTAATGGTAATCGTAATGGTAATGGTCATGGTAATGGTAATGGCAATGGCAATGGTAATGGTAATGGTAATGAAAATGGTAATGTTGATGCTAATGAAGATGCTAATTATGATAATGATGATATTGAGGACGAGGAGGAAGAAGATGTGTATGTTCCTCTGCTATTGGTTCATGCGCGAGGTGTCCAGAGAAAACAAAAGGCCCACTTAGGATGTGAGGAAAAATACTCGACAAGACGGAAACGGCAACGACGGCAGCGGCGAAGACGACGGCGACGACGACGAAGACCCGCAGGCCGCGCCTGCGGGGCCAGCCCAACAGCATCGGCGAAGCGCCCCAGGGCCCGCAGCTGCAGCTGCGCGACGTCGGCCCGCAGTTGCGCGTGGCACTCGCGCATGGCGAACAGCACCGCCTGCGGAAGCCTCCCAAAAGGGGCCTCCCTCGACGACGTGATTCTTTGTTCGATTCTCGGAGGTGTTCGGACGATTTCGTGAGCTCCTGAGGGTCCTCCAGCCTCGGGGCGCTCTTCAGCGGCTGCGCCTCGTCGAGGGCAGACTGGGGGTGCGTGGGTCGACCCGAACGGCTGCTGGAGGCCCGGGCTTAGGCCCGATCATCACAGGGGTCCCAAATCTATGACGAGATAGTTGCCTCAATCCGGGGCACTTTCCCTCGATCTCCGACCTCTGGGGCCCGCTCTCGGGCCCCAGGCTCGGCACAAGCGGATCCAGGTGCAAATGCTGGCCCAGATAGGAATGATAAGAGAGGTCGGGACCCCTGGGGCCGCGCACGGAAAGCACGAGGTGAATGGAGGGGTGAGCGGACCCGGGAAACGACGGGGCCGCCTTGCCGTTGGGGTTTCGCTCCTCCTCCCCCCCCTCCCCCTCCCCCTCCCCCTCCCCCTCCCCCTCCCCCCCCTCCCCCTCCCCCTCCTCCTCCTCCTCCTCCTCCTCCTCCTCCTCCTCCTGCTCCCCGTCCTCCTCCTCCTCCTCCCCCTCCTCCTCTCCGAGCTAGGCACGCGCCGCCGCCGACGGCGGGACGCGCACCGTTTCCTGCCCGGGGGCGCCGAGCTCCGCGCCTGCGCCGTGCCCACTCTTCTCCATCGGATTGTGCTGGTGGCCTCTGGAGTTAGGTCAGGCATGTCCCCCTACAGGCTGATTTTGAACGATGACTAAAAGATCACAAAACAAAACAAAAAAACAACAAAAAAACTACAATAAATACCCACGGAAGTCTTCAAACATACTTTTTGAACAACTCGTTCCCTGACAATTTTCTAACTAAATTTGGCTATTCCTCCTGTAGAGGGACAGGCCCGACTTAATTCTGGAGCCTCGGCTGGTTTTCTCTGATGTGTCCTTCCCTTCGGCTTCGTTCGGGGGCGCGCAAACATGGATTTGCGATCCATGGATTCGGCGCGCGGTCGCAAAATCCATGGATCGGGCGAGGTGCCCTCCCCAAAATGCGGCCGGTGCCGCCTCGTTCGGCGGCGGAAATCCGCCATTTCCCATGGAAATGGGACCCGTCGCTAATCCACGCCCCCTTGATCCATGTTTGCGATCGCCTGAGAGGTGAGGCTGGGCCCGCTGTGAGGGCGTTCCGGACTGTGGCACGCTGGACAATGCTGCATTCCTCCCGTCCGTCGCTCGCATGTCGGGCACCTCTGCGGACATCCGACCAACCGAACTTCTACCTCTTGATCCTCCTTCGACCTCATTCCCCCGCCTTGTTTTCAAACCCCCTATCCCCATCCTCCTGCCCCTCCCAACTCCCATTGGCGATCAGCAGTGCCTTGGCAGGCTGCTCCGCATCCTCCTTCCGGGTCCGAAGCTCGAGGTTCAAGCTCAAGGATCGAGGGTCGAGGATCGAGGATGGATCGAGGGTCAAGTTCGAGAACAAAGGAGGACTGCGAGGATCGAGGATCCTCGTCGTTGGCACCCGCATGGTCGTCGTCGTCGTCGTCGTCGTCGTCGTCGTCGTCGTCGTTGCCTTGAACGCAGCCGTCCAAGTCGTCGCCGTTGATGTGAACGCCGACGCCGACAACGCCGCGGACGACGTCGCCGTCGAGGACGTCGTCGCCGTCGAGGACGCCGT